ACCTTCTTCATTCTGCTAATGGTGTTTTGTTTGTTTGGTTGACTTTTGGTTTTCCATACTACTTTGTTTTCCTACAATGTCCAGCTGGTACCCTTCTCATTAGATAACTCCTGTTCCACCTTCAGATCACAATCAAGGTTCCGGAAAGCCTTTCCAGTCTCCCTTAGCCAGGTTAAATATTAGTGTATGTGGTCAGGGCACCAGACATGTTTCAAATATAATCCTGTCCTTTTTGCATTTTGTGTTTCAGTGAGTAACTGTGCAATTTAACCTCCATCACATAAGAGAAAAGGAAACTAGTCTGTTTGCTTTCCTACCACAGGCCTTGGCTGATATGCCAGGGTTAGTTGATGAATAAAATGAAAGAAATCTAGAAGAACTGTCACTCTGTATGCAACAATCCCTTTCTGAATTGTACTCAAGTATACAAGCACATTCCCATTGTCAATACTGTATACAATTAAACAACCTGGAATTCAAAGCATATTTTTCAGACAGATTTTACAAAGTGAGCTCTTAGTTCTTGCCAACTTGACACAAAATGCAGTTGCCTGGGCAGAGGGAACCTCAGCTGAAAAACTGTCCCCCCTGGACTGCGGGCCTGTGGGCATGTCTGTGGGACATTTCCCTAGTTAATGCCTGGCATGAGATGTATGAACGCACTGCAGGCACCTTTAGGCAGATGGTTTTGGGTTGCAGAAGGAAGCAGGCTTGACAAGCCATGAAAAATAAGCCAGTCAGCAGCACTCCTCCATGGCCTCTGCTTCAGATCCTGCCTGCAGATTCTTACCTTGAGCCCCTGGTCTCTCTTCTCTCTATAATGGACTCCAACGTAGTGTTATCACACCAACAGAGAAGCAAACTAGAATGCAAATATAAAAGTTCTATCATCCTGCCGTCTATTGTCTAACATATTCGTAGATCTGTAAGGAACCAATTAATCCATCTATTCAAGTTTGTGCCATTTTCCTTTTCCTTTCAAATGAAACTAAAAGCTGTTTTTTATTTTAATTTTGATGCCTAAACAAAAGCTGACCGATATAGCTGAGCATTGTAGTCAGGAGAGAAGTCCCACTCTGTAGCTCTCCAGTACTGACAGCAGAGTCCATGAGCATTCTACCCAGAAACTAACGTGGATAGTATGAAGAACTACATGTGATTCTTCTTGGGCAAAACCTAATGTCCAATTCTAAATGCCCTCCCCTATATAATAAACAGCCTACCTAGAAATAAGCACACTATAGCTTTCCACCCAAAATGTACTCTTTTTTAGAAGGTAGGAATAACCTTTTTATTTGTTTGTTTGTTTTGAGTGACAGGGTTTCTCTGTGTAGCCTTGGACTCACTTTGTAGACCAGGCTGGCCTCCAACTCACAGTGATCCGCCTGCCTCTGCCTCCCAGGATGCTGGGATTAAAGGAGTGTGCCACCATGCCCGGCTAAGGAACAACAATTTATGATTCTTAGAAAGTGATGGGAAGAGAAGGCTCAGTGTTTAAGAGCACACACTGCTCTTGGAGAAGACCCAAGATCATCACCAACAATGGGTGCTAACCGTCAACTCAACTCCAGTCTCCAGGGCATCCAACACTGTCTTCTCAAATCCTCAACCACCTCCACACACACGGTGCACATGCATGCACTCAGGCACACACATGCACACATGAAATTAAAAAAGTAAGAGCTGGTATGGCGGCACATGCCTTTAATCCAGCATTCTGGAGACAGAGGCAGGTGAATCTTCTTGAGTTTGAGGCCCGCCTGATCTACAAAGTGAGTCCAGGATAGCCAGGGCTACCACACAGAAAAACCTTGTTTCGGGAAAACTTAAATAAACAAATGAATGCATAAATGAGTAAGTCTTTTAAAAGGAGGATGACACAAAGCAATGAATTTGAAAATATTGTTGTTCAGCCTCCTCTCCCTTCTCCCCCCTCTCCCTCTTCCTCCCCCTTCCCTTCTGCCAAGCAGAGGTGTTGCATGCCTTTAATCTTAGCAGAGACAAAGGCAGGCAAATTTCTGTGAGTTTGAGGCCAGCCTGATCTACAGAGCAAGTTCCAGAACAGCCACGGTTACAGATAAACCCTGTTCTAAAAAACACACAAACAAAAAAATCTGACCTGATTCTTCCTTTTAACCTACTAACCGTCTGAGGGATTAGGATGGAAGACCGTAGAGCTGGCAAAGTGTTTGCTTTGAAGGCGTGAGGACTTGAATCTTGAGCCCCAGCACCCACACATAAAGCTGGGTGCGGTGGTGCACGCCTGGAACCCCAGCCACGTGCAGTCAGAGGCAGGAAACTCCAGGTTCCATAGCTCTTTCTCAAAAACGGAAGTGGACAGTGATAGAGACACATGATATGGACTTGTGGCACTTGTGTACACAAAAACATATAACACATACATACATAGACTCTGAATAGTTATAAGTGGTATCATAAACTAAAATTAATTATCAAAATGTATATTTAATTTCTAGTCTTTAGATTCCAACTAAGAATTTTACTGTTTTCAGCTACTAACAGAATCTGGTGATAAGAGAAGTCTTAAAAATCTGAAGTGCCAGGGCTGGAGAGATGGCTCAGAGATTAAGAGCACTGGCTGTTCTTCCAGAGGTCCTGAGTTCAATTCCCAGCAACGACATGGTGGTTCACAACATCTATAATAAGATCTGGAGCCCTCTTCTGGCATGCAGATATACATGTAGACAGAACATTGTATACATAATGAATAAACATATATTTATTAAAAAGATATTTAACAAAAACAGAAAGCAAAAACTGAAGTGCCAGACATTGATGTATCAAGCCCTTTATCCCAGCATAGGCAGGAAGATCTCTGTGAGTTCAAGGCCAGGCTAGTCTACAGAGTGAGTTCCAGGAGAGCCAAGGCTACACAGAAAAACCCTGTCTGGAAAAAATCAAACAAAATGAAAAAAAAAAAATCAAAAGAAAAAATATGAACTGAGTTTATTTATTGTTTCTCTCTACCACATGAGCTCTGTGGAAGCACAGTTTTGATCAGTCTTAGGCAGTCCCGTATGTGGCACACCCTGGTGCCCCATAAACTTCCTGAATGAATGAAGAATGAATGAATGAATGCTGGTGTTCAAAATTCAGATCTTGTGCATTACTCAAACAATTACGTTATTAATCACGAAACAATACTGTCAAGGTGCAAATAAAATGACTCTATTTCTCATTTATGTTTCTTGCTTTATAGGTATTGTCCCATATGATATCAGTATTTCAAATATCTCACTCATTTCTATCAGTACCAAAAAAAATTATTCTACTATAAGATCAAATGAGTGTTTTGATTGAACATGCCCTCAAAAGTAGATGTTAAACATTCTTTAAAGTGAAATTACTTCTTTTCAGTGGTTGATTTGGAAGGCCACTTCCTTTGTAGTTTGGGGAAATTGATCAAATTAAGGAAATCTATACAAAACAGTGAGGTCTATGCAGGTCTGTGTGTGTGAGTGTCAATCCCGTGTTTGTTATAACCTCAAACTGACTAGAAATAGGAAAAGGCAGCTCCATGACAGAGCATGAAAAAATGTTCTCTGTCAGTTATTTTTGTCCAAACTCAGTCCCTTAATAAACTGTCAAATATTTTGTCTCAAATGACTAAATTAAGAAAATTGAAACATTAAAGAACCAAGGAATAAACAATATTAACACTGAATGGCCCACCTAAGGAAGATCCCCAAACTTGGTGTCCCACGAATTCTGTCCAACAAGTGTAACTTGTGGGTTTTCAGTGGGTGAGTTTTCCTGGCCCCTTTCCTCTCAAGCTGTCAATCACACAGAATTACTCCCAGCTAACCATAGTTTTCCTTTGTCCTTCTGTTTATAGGTGGTTTGAGACCCAGAGAGCTGATTTTCAAGTTAGAAAATGTTAAATAGAAATGTTAAATGCCAGACAACTTCATTTTGTTCTAGTGTTTCCCGAGTCTCAGAAATGAACGTGGGAGAAGTTGTGTTACAAGACTTGTGACCTGCTAATATTTCAAAAGCATTAACTTTTGCTTCCTTGGATTTTTAAACTTCATTCACCTTCAGCAAAAGGAGCAAGATGAAGTAAGCTATGTGCGCACGTGCCGTATTTAATGATCCCTGCAAGGCTTGCCTTCAAGACTACTGTAGTGATCACCCAAAAGACTTTGAACAAAGACAGGTCTTGAATGAACCGAATCCTTTGGTAAACAGACTTCTTTTCCTTCATCACACCATTTACCCAAAGCCCTTTTTATTCTACACTGAAAACAAAAATAAAAATTATATACAGTTATAAACTTGGGTAACTTTTTAGAAGTTAATTTCAGCCTCACCCAGATATATATGAATGAATGAATGAATGAATGAATGAATGAATGAATGAATGAATGAATGAACCAACCCACGTTCCTTCTATCCGCAGGTTCTTCATTCACTACTGAAGCTATGGCATACGCTCCTCGCGGGCAGGAATAACGCCCGTAGCTCAGGCATTTCAGACATATTAGGAATATTGACTAACTCCGTTCCTTCAGGTTAGGCACTTCCCTGCTCGCACTGGGCGCCGGGGGTGAGTGTGGGAGACTGTTTCTTGCTGAAGTCCTCTCAAGGACAGCTGCTAAGGTGAACAGTACCCCGGGTTTTCCGGCAACCACAGCACTTGTGAACGACTGAGGGAGAGATCTGCAGTACCACCCAGCTGCACTTAGGGGCTGCTCTGAAAACAGCAACACGGCGCTCGGGAATTCATGGCAGCTCTGAGCCCGAGTGTTCGAGCGCACTGTCCACACCGCTAGCGGCAGCGGCAGCAGCAGCAGCGGCAGCAGCAGCAGCGGCAGCAGCGAGGCTCCCGGGCAGGCAGGAACCGCCTGGGGAGGCAACAGTCAGCATCCCTTCACCCCAGCCCGAGGGAGAGGCTCTCCTCCGCCTCCGCGCTAGCGCTCCCGGGCACTCAGGCTTCCCGACCTCTCCGGGAGAAGCAGAAAGGTCCCCGCCGGCCTTACCTCTCGGGCTGCTCTCCTGCAAGTACGGCGGGGCCGTGGGAGTGACGTTCCCCGAATGGGATGCTGACAGCAGCGGCGAGCGTTCGTCCATCCCGTCAGCAGCCATGACTGCAGCAGCGGCGGGGCGGGCCGCAGCTTGAGCTGGGCTGCGGCTCCAGGAGGTGGTGGCCGGCGCTGCGCTGCCGCTACGGCCTCCGGGAGGGCCCAGGCTGTGTCACAAGGCAGACGGCGGGGGAGGGGAGGGTGCGGGACCGAGAGGCGGGGGGGAAGGGAAGCACGCCCGGAGGCTTGCTGGGGGAGGGGAGGGGAAAGAAAGAGCCCCGGAGGAGGAGGAGGAGGAAGGGAAGAAGTGGTGGAGGAGAACTCAGCCAGTCTGGGAAAAGGGGGAACGGATAGGACCGATTAGGAAACGGGGGGAGGGGAAGAGATCAAGTAAGCAAGAGGAGGGGCAAATGGAAGGAGAGGGTGAGGAATCTTTTAAACTAAGAGAAACGAGGATAAAGAGCAGCTTTGAAAGGCACTAAAAGAAAAGGCCTGTTCTTGATTACCGGAGAGTTAGAGCAATCAAGTTCAGCTCCCCCTGGAAGGAGGAGGAGGGTCTGACTTTGCTGGTAAACTTTGCAGTTGGGTAGAGAAAGCTTATTTATTTCTTGAGTTAGCAATTTCTTCTTGGAGGTTTAGTCTTTCTTTGGTGCGTGTGCTTTGGGGTTTCCTCTTTTCCTTGATGATTTTTTTTTTTTTCTTTTTTGGCAATATGGGTGCTGACTTTTGATTTTGGCACTTTAAGCATAAATGTTGACTTTTATAACTTCCATTTTACAAAACAGACTGTCATAGTTTTTACAATAACGAGGCTTTTGTATAATGTAAGACAATTAAATCCTTTTTTCCCCCACAAAAGATTAAAAAAAAAAGTTATTGGCCTAAAGCAGTGGCTCGCTGGCCTTGCTTAGGACACAAAATCCAGTTTTCAACACGCACAACCACCTGTAACTCCAGCACACAGAATCCAATGCCCTGTCTGGCCTACCGCGCGCATGCACACAGACACACGCACACAAAGTTTTAAAATTTTGTTTAAATATTCTTTTCTTGGTTTTGAAGGTTTAAATTTGATTCCAGAATGGTTTACGTTCTTTTTAAAAGGCAAGCCAAAATGTAGAACACATCAAAATAAAAATGCAGCAGGAATAAAAGTGATAGCCTATAATAACAATTTTTCTGCTACGATTCTTCTGAGTCACTTGGGAAGAGTTAATTGCTCACTTATCAGGTGTCCACAAGTATCTAGGGTGCAGTTTCCATGCTTAAGGTGGCCAAAAGGCAGGACAGTGAAATAGCTGTGTAGGAGGCGGGTAGTTGTAGTCTTACATTTCGATGGGTATACACAGCAGACATGAGACATTTGAAATTACTCAGATCACATTCCGAATTCTCAAGTTCCTCTCTGAAGACATACTCTTTCTTCTTTAAATCTATTCAGTACCAGCTGGAAACCCTAAGGGAAGATAAACAATGTTTTCTTTCATGCAGCATCTTTGGAGTATCCCAGAACAAGATGGTGTGATCCCTATGAGCATGGGATGTAAAGACTCACGATGTAGGTCTCCCTGAAAAAGAAAGATAGGAAGAAAGGAAGAAAAGAAGAAAGGGAGAAAGGGAGAGAGGAAGGAAGAAAGAAAGGAAGGAAGGAAGGAGGGAAGGAAGGAAGGAGGGGAGAAAAGTTTATCCCTTGCGATATGAGTGGCAGTGCCTCACAGTTATAGACTGAAGATTACTGAGTTGAAGCAAATTACAAAACTAATCAACAGAACCCTGCTTTTACCCTGGATTGTCCTACAAAGGCTCATATATACAGTAACAGTATGGGAGGTGCTGTTAAGAGTTAGGAGGTAGAGCCAGTGGGTCATCAAAGGTGTACTCCCTTGGGAGAAATTGCATTGCAAAGTTTTAACCCATCTGTCTTTACACTTTCCTTCCTGTGTGATGATAGACAGGTTGATTGTCTCATAGCCGTCGAAGCTCTCATCAGAGGACAACTAATACTTTGGATTTGAATTGCCAGAGTAAGTTAAATAAGCCTTTAGTATGTTAGTTAGTTACCTCACGTACTTGGTTGTAGCGGTGCAAAGATGAGCAATAAATTTCATGTTCTGTCATGCCACCCCCAAACAATATTTTAATGCTTTGTTTACGTTGCGTTATCCTCCTACTCTCTATCCCCAAATGACAGATGCGGTCAGAAGACATGTACTCCTCTGGGGAGGGTCCTCTTTAAAGTTTTAATTACGTCCTTTTCCTTTCCTCCTTCAAGCCCCTGTCACATTCTCCCTCACTTCCTCTCTTATATTCTCTCCAGTGTCCCTCTTAGTATGACTTAAATATTTTAATATGTCTGTTTATTTTGTGTGAGTGCTCATGAGTGTGATCAGATGCCGTGGTGTGAGTGTGGGAGGCAGAAGACAGCTTGTGGCAATCAGTTCTCTTCCACCCTGTGGGGCCTGGAGATTAAACTTGGGTTGTCATGCTTGGGGGACTTCCAAGACTCATGACCCCCTTCATTATTATTATTATTATTATTATTATTATTATTATTATTGCTACTACTATTATTATTATTTCATATATATGCACAAATCTGTAAATACAACCATCTGAGTCTGTTTATTGTTGTCTGTATGTACATAATTTCAGGGCCAATCAATTAGTACTATATAACCAGTTAGTGGCTCATCCCTGGGGAAGATGAATTCTCCCTCTCAGCATTGACTATAGTTCTTTATCCAGGAATGGAAGCCTTTGAGATTTCCCCCCTTCTGTGTTAGTATGTCTATTAGCATTGTCACTATTTGGATCTTGTTTAGGCATATATTTTGTTCATATATATGAAGAATTATGGGTGCAGCTTCCCTGTCATTTCTAAGAGATATAATCTCATTGGTCCTCTGGGTCTTACAGTTCCCTCCTTCCTCTTCTTCTGAGATGTTCCCTGAGCCTGGGGTACAGGAGTTGAGTTGTAGTTGTATGCCCCAGAGTTAGGAACTCTACCATCAGTTTTCTATATTCTGACCATTTGTTGCTTTCTGTGATAGTCTCTGTCTGCTGCAAAGAGAAGCTTCTTCAATGAGGGATGAGAGCTACATCCATCTATGGGTATAAGATTAGTATTGAGAATGAAGTTTGCAATTATACTGGTCTAATAAAGTAGAGATGGCATGGTCTCCACTGAGATCCATGAACTCATTAGCTGTGGGTAGTCGGGTAGGTTTCCAGTACCAGGCATGATTTTTCTCTTGTTGAGTGGGCCTTAAGTCCAGTCAGATTTCTATTGCTTACCAGCAAGATGTGGGTACAACAACTACCTTCTGGAATATCTTAGCCTGCTGGTCATTGTTGTGGTTCATAGTGTCTGCTCTGGGTAGGACTGCTCATTGTTTTCCCTCTGCTTAAGCTAGTCCTTGGGGAGGAAGAAGCGTGTGTCTTTTATTCACAACCTATCTTTAATATCTAGCGTAAGTAACAACATTAACCAGCATGTGGTATTTGCCAAATAAATAAGAAAATTATCAAATAAACAATTACTGTATAGTCCCAAAATCTCAATATAATGTTTCAGCATGGAAAGGTCTAGAGCAGAGCTGGAGATCTAGCTTAACTAGTAGAGTGCTTGCTCGCCATGCACCAGGCCCTGGGCCCCATACAAAGTACGACATAAACCAGCTGTGGTGGTGTGATGCTGTAGGCTCAACACCAAGGAGATAAAGACAGCAGGAACAGAAAGAAGTTCAGGGCCAGCCTTGACTACGGGATGAGATTCTGTCTCAGGGTGAGGGTGTGTCTTCTGTGTTGCACAGGCTGGTTTAGACCTCTTGGGATCAAGCAATCATTCCATATCCTGCCTCAGCCTTTGAAGTATCTGAGACTATAGGTGTGTATCACTGTGCCTAGCTTATTTCATGACTTAAAAAATATTCTGAGGCTGGAGAGACTGCTTAGAGGTTAAGAGCTCTGCCTGCTCTTCCAGACATCCTGAGTTCAATTTCCAGCAACCACATGGTGGCTCACAACCATCTATACTGGGATCTGATGCCTTCTACTGGCATGCATGTGACCCACAGATAGAGCACTCAATATAAGCAAAATAAATAAATAAATCTTTTTTTTTAAAGTCATTAAAAATATCTGTATCAGCATGGACATATGTACGTGCAGGCAAGCGCCCACAGAGGCCAGAAGCATTGGGTTTCCTGGAGCTGGAGTTATCAGCACTTGGAATGGAATTTGGATCCTTTACAATAGAACTGGGCTCTTAAATGTTGAGCCATCTTTACAAGACCTTCATAACTTTTTAATGAAGGTGATAGCATTGCCATTCAACTTAGCAACAATGTATCTACAACTATAGTTGTACCTAGAGAGTTATAAGTTTGAAAAACTTTTCTTCTTTTACTTCATCATAAATCAATCCAAAAGGTTATTTCTCTTTAGTGTGTCATATGGCTTCACCATTCAAGTTAGAGCTCATTTAAAGCTAATGGCAGTTACTCCGCCTACATTATAAAAAGTAATAGATACACATGGAGGTTACATTTACAATAATGCCAAATCATACAAAAACTTTCTTAGATGAGTATCACTTCATTCTGGTTTCAAGGTAACACCATGGGTTGGGGGTACTCAATAAATACACCAATTCACAGTATTTAATTTTTATGACATGTATCATCTTTAGTCACAGGAAAAGCTAATACATCTGTCAGAAGAAATGTTCTTGTCCTTATGAGTAACTGCTGTAATTATTTGCTACATAACAAACCACATTAAGAGCTGGTTGCTTCAAACAACATGACTTGTTCATGATTTTCTGTAGGTTGACTGGGTAACTATCTGGTCAGACTTGCCTGAGCTTAGCTAGCTGACAAGTTTGCTTATAACTGGTTTCTGCTGGAACATATGAGGCTGTTGGGCATCTCCTCAAAATCTTCCTCCCAGACTTTCTCATGTGTCTGCTCATATCAAAGCTATACTCCAAGACAACACCAAAGTCAAAATACAGAGTTTCAAACAATGTTGTAAGGGAATTTTAACTCATAACATGGCTGTTCTGACAAAAGACCACCTCTGAAGACCTTCTAGGTCTGCGTGATCCAGTTAGAATACAAACACACCTTCAATCC